TGATATTGCTTTCGATGTAGATATGGCTATCAATTTCATAGAGGTACAAGCCCAAGGTACAGGCCTGAGGTAAAATTTGTGATATTCCTTGATGCTCGCTGACTATCGCTCAGAAGATAACGTGATTATAGTTATGACAAGACAGGCGACCATTTTCCACCCTTCGTTTGATCCCCACTTAAGCAGAAGCAGTATGATGCTAATACACATTTGGCTCCATTTAGGTAAAAGATATTCTTACGACATCTCGGAGAACTCGTAGAGACATTTTGATGGCAGACAACTGAAGTGCTACAGATTCACCGGTGTTGTAGTGCCGGCTCAACAAGATCTGTTACAAATTATAGATATCACAGCAGAAAATTCCAAACCCACTAGCTATTACACAGCATGCTGGGAAAGCATCAGGACCATTACACATCTAAACAAATGTAATCCAATCAAAATATTTTGATGCTTGTTAACAGAGTAAGGATATGACTTATTTAAGGCTAATTTATGTGACATATTTCTATTTGTTCATTCCCAATGTAAGCAAATTGACACAACTTTATGTGAACTATGTATGATTCTATTGGCATCATATGGCATTAACAAGCAGAAATAATGATGACAAAAATAAATGCACTGCACATTTAGGTCATAAGGGAGAGGTCATAGAAACAGTCGAGTTCAAAGTTCACACGCTTCTTATGCTAATTACAGGTCTAATTACAAAAAATAAATATTTTTCACAAAATGAAAACAAGAAAACAGGTTCTGTTTAAAAGACAGACATTTTAAGTATATAATTTAATTTTAATCTTACACATTTTCATCATCTTTGTAAATAAACTTGGGAATGTAGCTTTACTTTAAACATGGTAATAAATCAATAAAAAAGGGAGACAAAAAAATTAAGCCCACCTGTAAGTAAGTTAACCTGCAATTGGAAATTAGACTATCTTATCAACATCATCATTGATTGAAATGGAATATCGTGGTAAATTCTCACTTTATAGCTAAGTTGTGCGAGATTTCATTTAGTGATAAGCATTAATTTCCTTGGTGTAACTTCATTGATCAGAAGTTGTAACGCCACTGATGCCCATCTTAAGTGCCTATGTTAGTGAAGACGAGGTCTTGTCATAGACCGCTATCTCTAAACTCCTCTAATGGAAAAACCAAATATATTGAAGAAATTGAAAAAAGAACAGATAAAAAGTAACCTCGTAAGATTTGAACTGATTCAGAATCGGGCACATTTTTTGGTAAAGATGCGATTTATGTTATAAATAACAGTTATTTTAATTATTTAATTTATTACTGTGAAATTCCAATTTCTTACATTATTTCACAAAGAAATTAAATATGAGAAATCATTTCCTTTTAGGATTTAGTTGGTTCTTGGCACATTTCTGTGTTAATTTTAATGGAAGATTAAAAAATAATAATTCAGCTTTGATTTCTTTTATCATTCATAGAATATCTAGATATCTGTCTTTAAAAGCTTAAAACAGTGCTGAACATAATTTTGAATTTGCGCTTTTTCACCTAAAAATCAATTTACGTATTTTGAGGGATTGAAGTGAGTTTCACTGATGATCTATCATGACTGTAATAATTTATTGGTATAATCAATGCCTGTGAAATAAGGCACTCTGAACTTCAGTAAAGATATATAGCACCATGTTAACATCTGAAATATAATAACTAAATATTTAAACTCTTTGAATGTAAATGGACAATATATACCTGTAGTTTACAGAGTGGCTTCATATACCTGTAGTTTACAGAGTGGCAGTGGTGATAAATGATGTTTTAAAGCAATAAACCACAAAATAAATTGCACATTGTTCAGGGAGTGAAATCAGCTATTTAAATGTAAATCAAGTTTTACTTAAAATTTCTTATTAATTTTATGTTCATAACAAGATTTATTGTATTTATTGCATGGTGAAGTGAGGACTTGTGATGTATATATGTAATAAATTATTGAGAAAATCATAAAAGAAATCCTCCAATAAGATGTTTGCCTGTAATTTTTGTGTAACATTGTAAAGTGATGGCCTAGATCGTCATGGATACAAGTTCAAATCCCATTTACTGTCACAAACAATGCCGACAAATATCAATGTAGATGCTGTGTATTTTCTACCACTCACATTTAATCAAACACAGACACCAACGGAATACCGCGGATCATTCTAGAGGTCTGTCTATACGGATCGGCCATATGTGATACCGTCCGGAATGTCATATTTTCGACGTAGAGTTATGGGTACGCTAAGGGAGGTTATTTACATTTCATCAACAGCATTTTGCCTTTATAATCGTAATGATAAGTGCCACATTGTGGGATAATCAGAATCATATGGGGTGGCTAAGGAATGGCTGTGGTTGATGGGGGAGGAATGGGAGGCAGAAGATTCGGACAATATACAAAGACCAAGTCTTTTTGTAGGTACACATATTAATGGCGGGGCTGACATCAAAGTTACGATTGATGATGCGGCCTGTCATCACAGAATCTGGGAAGATTTGAAAACACATTTTTTGGTAGTTTTATCAGGTTACATATTAAGCGTATCAAAGATAATGTGATTTTTCTGGGGAGGCTTCATCACTGATCTGTGATAGTAGTACCTCACATACTTTCTATCGTTTGTAGATGTATTTGTAGTCTCATTCGTCAAATGAATTATATATAAATATGTTTCTAGGTAGGGTACGTCTCGGAACAAAAACATTACCGATTTACTCCCACTCATATTCATGTAGAAGGTTTTTCCACCCTAGTTAGATCACACCTCACTGGTAAATACCAAGGAGATCTGACTGTTGGAGAAAGTCTGTTAACCAATAACAGAGCTTTTTTTTCATTTTTTTTTTCAAATGTAGATTTATGCATTATGGTATGTGATTGTTAGCATATGAATGTGATTAGCTGATGAAGAAGATCTGTGTATGATATGGCCCAACGTTTGGATTCCCACTGTACACAATGCTAGGTTCATATAGACCTATTTATTATAACACGCGTTGATAGCTACATGTGTTTGACAGCTCTAGGAAAAATGCATTCTTTGAGGACTATAGACTAAAGATTATAACAGAATGAAAAACATTCTGTTTGAACTGCCGAATCTGGTGTAAGGAAGAAATAAAGATATCGAAGGGAGGCTAATCATGGAAGTGTGGATGTCATTTGATGTTTTGGAAATCATATTGGCTGTTAATGCCAGACTGTAATAAAAAATACAGTTCATGTGTACTGTGTTATAATGTGCAACTGTGGATCACCTCCTCCAAACCACACGCCCCGTCTCCACTAATTACAGCCGACACAGGTCCTGACTTGGAAACCTGATGGAAATAATAAGATTTCAGTTGGGTGAAAATGTACAGCCACTTCAGAAAACTGCATATTGTGAAAAAGTTGGGGAAAAAAATGTTCATCAAAGTACTGAAGAACAAAAAATGGCCTGTACGATAAATCTTGTTACTGCCAATAATACAGAATGGCCCTCTGTGACAAATATAGAGAAAGGATAAAAGCCCTTTGAGAGGATAAGTAATTAATGAAAAGAATGTCCTTGTCAGTGAATAGAGCTAAATGTTTCTTCAAAGCAGGCAAAATTAAAACATCCACCAGCATCTTCCCTTCGCAGTGACATTGGGGGACTTTAGTACACACACATATTTTCCCCATTACACCTAATCTGCAGCATTAGTGACAAAACAGTCCATTACCATTAGAACTGATGGATGTGGAACATATGCTGGTGCCAAGAAAACGTTATTTCATGGAAGTGACATCAACAAAAATCAAGCCTAGGAATCTACTGTGATTATCTGATTGAAGAGAACCTGTCACTAGTCAATTTCAAGTACCAAGATACATGGCAACCATTTTGCCACTGATTCAAATGTCATTCTTTGTTGTACTTTATATCATTTTGTGTTTTATTTTCGATAAAAAACTTTCAGCAATTGAAATGATAGTGTTGAGCCGTAGAATGATGATTCAATTATGCATGTTCATTGTATACTGTGAAATCACTAATTTTCTTTCATTGATTTTGTGGGTTATCTTCATCCATTAATTCATAGGTCCACAAAGTTTGATATAAAAATATATAAGTAATTGTGTGGGTATTTATAATCCAAAATTAACGTACCAACGAAATAGTGTTTTGTCAAAAAACCCATAATAGTGTTTTCTCTGGAAACCTGAAAATTTGGGACCCATCAAAATATCAAGTTTCAAAGTTGCAAATGTATTTATTTTCTCCTTCCTAAATTACAAGTCCCCTGTCTCTGTCCTGGGTTACATGTCCCCTGTCTCTGTCCTGGATTACATGTCCCCAGTCTCTGTCCTGGGTTACAAGTCCCCTGTCTCTGTCCTGGATTACATGTCCCCTATCTCTGTCCTGGATTACCATGTCCCCTGTCTCTGTCCTGGATTACATGTCCCCAGTCTCTGTCCTGGATTACATGTCCCCAGTCTCTGTCCTGGGTTACAAGTCCCCTGTCTCTGTCCTGGATTACCATGTCCCCTGTCTCTGTCCTTGGTTACAAGTCCCCTGTCTCTGTCCTGGATTACATGTCCCCTGTCTCTGTCCTTGGTTACAAGTCCCCTGTCTCTGTCCTGGATTACATGTCCCCAGTCTCTGTCCTGGATTACATGTCCCCAGTCTCTGTCCTGGGTTACAAGTCCCCTGTCTCTGTCCTGGATTACCATGTCCCCTGTCTCTGTCCTTGGTTACAAGTCCCCTGTCTCTGTCCTGGATTACATGTCCCCTGTCTCTGTCCTGGATTACATGTCCCCAGTCTCTGTCCTGGGTTACATGTCCCACATCTCTGTCCTGGGTTACAAGTCCCCTGTCTCTGTCCTTGATTACCATGTCTCCTGTCTCTGTCCTTGGTTACATGTCCTCTATCTCTGTCCTGGATTACCATGTCTCCTGTCTCTGTCCTTGGTTACATGTCCCCTGTCTCTGTCCTTGGTTACATGTCCCCTATCTCTGTACTGGGCTACATGTCCCACATCTCTGTCCTTGGTTACATGTCCCCTGTCTCTGTCCTTGGTTACAAGTCCCCTGTCTCTGTCCTGGATTACCATGTCTCCTGTCTCTGTCCTTGATTACATGTCTCCTGTCTCTGTCCTGGATTACATGTCCCCAGTTTCTGTCCTTGGTTACATGTCTCTTGTCTCTGTCCTTGGTTACATGTCCCCTGTCTCTGTCCTTGGTTACATGTCCCTTGTCTATGTACTGGGTTACATGTCCCCTGTCTCTGTCCTTGGTTACATGGCCCCTATCTCTGTATTTGGTAACAAGTCTCTTGTCTCTGTTCTTGGTTACATGTCCCCTATCTCTGTCCTTGGTTACATGTCCACTGTCTCTGTCCTGGGTTATATGTCTCTTGTCTCTGTCCTTGGTTACAAGTCTCCTGTCTCTGTCCTTGGTTACGTGTCTCCTGTCTCTGTCCTTGGTTACATGGCCCCTATCTCTGTCCTTGGTTACATGTCCCCTATCTCTGTCCTTGGTTACAAGTCCCCTGTCTCTGATCTTGGTTACATGTCCCCTGTCTTTGTCCTGGGTTACATGTCTCTTGTCTCTGTCCTGGATAACAAGTCCCCTGTCTCTGTCCTTGGTTACATGTCCCTTGTCTCTGTCCTTGGTTACATGTCCCCTGTCTCTGTCCTGGGTTACATGTCCCCTATCTATGTCCTTGGTTACATGTCCCCTGTCTCTGTCCTGGGTTACATGTCTCTTGTCTCTGTCCTGGGTTACATGTCTCTTGTCTCTGTCCTTGGTTACATGTCCCCTATCTCTGTCCTTGGTTACATGTCCCTTGTCTTTGTCCTTGGTTACATGTCTCCTGTCTCTGTCCTTGGTTACATGTCTCCTGTCTCTGTCCTTGGTTACATGTCCCTTGTCTTTGTCCTTTGTTACAAGTCTCCTGTCTCTGTTCTTGGTTACATGTCTCCTGTCTCTGTCCTTGGTTACATGTCTCCTGTCTCTGTCCTTGGTTACATGTCCCTTGTCTCTGTCCTTAGTTACATGTCTCCTGTCTCTGTCCTAGGTTACATGTCCCCTGTCTCTGTCCTTGGTTACATGTCCCCTATCTCTGTCCTGGATTACAAGTCCCCTGTCTCTGTCCTTGGTTACATGTCCCCTGTCTCTGTCCTTGGTTACATGTCCCTTGTCTCTGTCCTTGGTTACATGTCCACTGTCTCTGTCCTGGGTTACATGTCTCTTGTCGCTGTCCTTGGTTACAAGTCTCCGGCTCTGTCCTTGGTTACATGTCTCTTGTCTATGTCCTTGGTTACAAGTCTCCTGTCTCTGTCCTTGGTTACATGTCCCCTGTCTCTGTCCTTGGTAACATGTCCGTTGTCTCTGTCCTTGGTTACATGTCCGTTGTCTCTGTCCTTGGTTGCATGTCCGTTGTCTCTGTCCTGGATTACAAGTCCCCTGTCTCTGTCCTTGGTTACATGTCCGTTGTCTCTGTCCTTGGTTACATGTCCGTTGTCTCTGTCCTGGATTACAAGTCCCCTGTCTCTGTCCTTGGCTACATGTCCCCTGTCTCTGTCCTTGGTTACATGGCCCCTATCTCTGTCCTTGGTTACATGTCCCCTGTCTCTGTCCTTGGCTACATGTCCGTTGTCTCTGTCCTTGGCTACATGTCCCCTGTCTCTGTCCTTGGTTACATGTCCCCTGTCTCTGTCCTTGGTAACATGTCCGTTGTCTCTGTCCTTGGTTACATGTCCGTTGTCTCTGTCCTGGGTTACAAGTATCCTGTCTGTGAATTAGGTTACATGTGTCCTGTCTCTGTCCTGGGTTACAAGTCTCTTGATTGTTTTTCTTAGGTTACCTAGTTTCAAGTTTCTTGTATTTGTCCTTGGCTACAAGTCATGTTTTTCTGTCCTGAATTACCTATAAACACAAGTCTTTCTCCTCCTTGGGTAGAAGCCATTTGTCCTTTGATGGCTCCTCCCACTTGACCTGACCTGGTGCATCATATGTATTCAATCAGTACACAATATAAATAATCTGGTATTAAATTATTGTCAGGAATGGTGACTTGATGCAAAAATTTGGCAAGGTGCCAACTCCAACATTAGCAGAATTGAGAGTGTTTCAAGAGAGAAACAACAATGTTCATTGTCTCTGTCACATGGGTGAGGGGGTGGGGTTGGAATAGGGAGAAAGACTGGGTCACAGTGGGGACGGTGGTGGGAAAATACTGGGAAAACACGTTTAAAAAAACCTTCCAGTGGGGAGGTAATATTATCACCATGTTAAGGAAAGTTTTTGTGTGGGAGGAATGGAGAGTACAAAAAGGGTTGTCCTGAGTGTTTTACCTATTCAATGTAGGGAGGACAGGTAGGAATATCTGTCACACTTTATTATAAATGGAAAGGCTCTTGTGGTTGGGCTTGGTAAGAGATAGTTTTGCATTAATTTTATAAATTCCAGGTAAACAGAGCAAGTAATGATGGTTGTTCAGACTTAAGGGGGTATTGTCCAATCGCTAATTTCCCCACTGTAAATATAGTTAGTAACAGAGCTGTAATGCATATGGTTATTAGTATGATAAATTAGGTGGTGAGGCACCTCAGGGGTGAATTGTCCTTCAGTGGTGTGTTGGGTCTATACTCTCAAAACACTGATATTCTTGAGATATGGCAAGAATAGGTTCCAACTTCAAATGTTGGCCTGTTTGCTACAAGAAAAGTATAAAGATTACAAAATACTTAATGGAGAAAGTCCAAGCATGTGTATATTCCAGTTAATTAACAAACAGATGTGTCTATTTGGAAAGAAATGATAATTAGAAATACCCCATAGTGTATCCCTATGGGTAGATAACCATCACATGGTGTAAGAGTATTTAGTAGACAATCATCATTCCTGAAGCTGATTACAGCCAGCCAGATAATTAGTGGTCACTAGGTATGTAGTAAATCTGCTATGTTTACTGTCCTTGTACAGTATGTTATATCATGAGTAGCCTTGACCTTTCTACCCCTGTCCAGTCTATATACGTGTCATTGGTCAGTACAGCTCTTAGTGCTCCTGATGGTTTGGGGTTATAGGTCTGACCAACTACAGAATTGAATCTTTATTATCTCTAACTGTTGAGAAACAGGAAATAAATTGCTACTTTTTGAGCATAAAACTGCTTTCAGTTTCAGAAAAAGTTAAAGCTGACTTCTTTAATGATGATTATCCATGGTCCAATCTTTATCATCGATGATGGTAATGATAATGTTGACAATGTATCTTTCTTTGATAAAAGAAGGGATACAAAGATTTTATCATCATCAAGAATATTGATGTTTTTGTGACCCTTGACCTATGAATACCATTAAAGGTGCTTAAAGAACTCATGACCCTTTCATCTCAAACCGTTGACACTACCAATGAGCAACAACAGCAGTGAATGTCATGTTGCAGCACATTTATAAAGGATGATTGTGACAGGAAATGTATCGGGCAAAAATGTTCGGCTTCATTAACTTATTCAGATAGAACTTGGGTCAGAGTGCATCACCTCGGGAAGAAATGATCGTGATATCTCAACGTTATCATGCAATGAATGTTTTTTCAATCAAGGCTGTTTCCTCTGATTGAAATATACTCATTAAATTAACCCTTAAACAAATATGTGCTTCAACATGCAGGTCAACATTTCCTTTATTATGATGTCAATAAAATCAAGTCTTTTAATATGTTTAAAAGGTTTTCTGTATGATCTTCATCAACCATTGTTGCCTTGTGTGAGGGATTCAGAAACGGAGGTCAAAGAGTGAGTCAGTAAAAAAGTACATTTGACTTTACATAGGTATTAAAAGCAGGAAACGGCTCTCTTGGGTGTCAACTAATCATGCGGGTCATACGGGCAAAAGCATGCAAGACCCTGATCTCCGACTTCTTCCAAAGCTTGAAGTGGATTTCTCAACTGAAGTGACGTGTTGTCCTTTGCTCAACAATAAGGGAGTGGCTTACCATGTGATGATCTCCGTCAGAATTTCCACATTTTATTATGATAAATTTGTGACATTACCATATTTTACCGGCAATAAGCCCCCTCCTCACTTTGGTAAATGTCCTGGGAGGTGGGTGCCTGCCATTAAGAACCCCCCCCCCCCCCTTTTTTTTTTGCAGGTGAAAAATGTGAAGTCGTTTGGAGAAAAAAAAAACGAAAGTTAAAAAAACATTTACTTGTGTCTGTGTTGTTTCTTTAAAATCTGCATCAACAGTTAGATTTAGGTCGTGTAACACCTTTCCAATTTTACAATACTGATAAAAACAACAACGCAATTATAAAATGACAATTGGTTGAAATCACAATAGCGTCGCTGTGGGACGTTGAGGAGATTCTGACATGTTGAGTTACAAGACGTATTCTAGTTTATGATTAAATCATCGATCAAAAAAATGAAGAAATAAATCGACTCAAAACGTATCAATGTAAATGTCCAATTCGGCCTCACCTGCAGATGACATGTGCGCCTCGGTCCGCCGATATTTACCTGTTTGCGTAGGGCACAAAGCCGTTCATTGGAAAGTTACATATTATGTTACAACGAAGTATTTCCACATCAAACATGTCAAACCCTTCAAAACCTTTATTATCATCGTAGTTGACGCTGGAGAATAAAGGTTTACCAGCATATTCATCGCTTCAATCTACACGTCTGCCATTCTTATGACCTTTTTTTTTTTTATTTGAAAATCTCTCGCACACCTTTGGTCATTACTAGCGTACACTGCCGGGAATATCGAAAGTAATGACAAAACAACCAATCAGAAGCCTTCTACTATACACGTTCGGGTTTGGTATAGCAACAACCCGACTTCACACTTTCTGGCTACCGATCAAAACCTACAGACCGAGAAACGGCATATGCCGTGCATAGCACTGACTACCCGACTTTTCAAAACGGCATATGCCGTGCGTAGCACTGACGACCCGACTTTTCAAAATGGCATATGCCGTGCGTAGCAGCCTAAGGGTTAACAAACATGAAATTTTATTTGTGTCTTCTGGTTATTCGTACAACATGAACTTTTTTATGTTGAAATATTTACTGGACACTCAACAGTAGAGGTGAGATAAAATCCAAGATGGTGGACCATGTTGAAATTATGTGAACAGGGGGGTTGCTNCCCCCCCCCCCCCCCCCCCCCCTCTTTTGGCCCATCTTTTTTGCTTATTGCCGGTAAAATACGGTATGTGCCTAAAACAAGTGATAGGTCCTTAAATGATTTCATTACTGTAAAACCTGTATACAGAGACCACTAAGAAGAAATCTGTGAGACCTCTTTTTGTAGGGGGTCTCTGAGTACAGGATCATGTTACATGAAAATAGTTGCAAGAGAGGATTGAAAGTGGCCTCTCAACACAGGTGGTCTCTTAATAGATGTGGTCGGTGATTTCTTAATTAGTTTAAATTAGATTTCCTCAATTTCTTGAGGGAAGTTGCCCCATATTTGTAAGGTATGCCTTTGTGAGATTTGTATTGTGAAAATCACATTGTGTAAAATATTATTGTTCATGAGAAGTGAGAATATATATATTTCAAGTAAACTTTCAACGGGTGGATGCAGTGGATTTCAATAAATCATGTCAATTGGTTTTCATTTCAATATTGTATTTAATTCATCTTCAGTTGTTTGAATTTGAACACATCAGTTGCAACTTGCAAATGAAATATTTATGTATTTATTTGCCATAAAGGTAGAAATTGACAGTACTCTGTTTTATATCTCCAGCAAAGAAGAGTTCCAATTTGTTTGGCATTTTCCCGACTTTTCCGATTTTTCGAAATTTATTCCACAAAAATGACTTTGAAATGGAGATTTGATCTCAGAACTCTGGATAATAAAGTAGCATCCTGATCTACAATGCTATCTGTCATGATATTTAATATGTTAATACTTTTCTGCAACACTACTGGGAATGATCTTAAAATGTTGTGATCCCAAATAAAAGGTTCACAATCCATACACATATTTGTATGAATGTAAAGGAAAAGACATGCATATTTTACAAGGAAAATAATATTTCAAAACGTGTATACAGAAGAAAAGTAATAGGAATATCTACCTTGAGTGAAACTTTTTTTGAACTGACATGACCAAATACTTGTGGGTGTTTTAATCTCTCTGTAGAGTTTTGCATCATTATGGTTTTATTGTTTTACCACAACACAAGTTATATTTAGATAGTGGATCTTTCTAAATTTTCAAGAGTACTCGTTTCAAAGTATTAACATCTGTGTGTAATTTTGAGTATCTCGTTACATACATATTACAGAAAAAGATGGGTCTATTTATGTGTCTTTATGACGTCTGCACAGTCCAATTGTAAAAATCTGGTAAGGTTATTAAGAAAGTGCAAAAATAATTAATCTTACGTTTTTTAAAAATATTGCAATTCAAAACAAAACTGTATGTTGTGCGATTCAAATTATCATGACAAAAAAACCCAAAACATTTGTACATTTTCGGATATTTTTTTAAAATCTTGTATGGAAAATTTGTGGCATTGGTATGCTAAAAGAATTTTAAACAAACTTGCCCTGATATTATATTTGGATACTGTCCTCATTATCTAATGTTATCATACATCATAAGCAGAAGAATTGTGATGATGGTAAATAACCTCCTCACAATGAAGTACCACATCCTGAAATGACCTTAGCTCTTCATAAGACTCTAAACCTAATAAACAAAGTGATGAAGTTTCGACATTTACACTTTTTCTTCCTTCTTTTTCTATTGCGTAAAGACAGACAATACTGTATGTCTGTCTGACCACTGCTGTGACTAACAGCACACCCAGGACTCATTATCGCGTTTTATAAAAGTCCAAAATAAAAAAAATACTCTGTTCTTCGTACTTGACTACGATCATCATGGCATTTTCTTGTCCATAATTTGAGTTAATGAATGCTCCCTTCGGTAGTGAAGGCTCCCCAATATCTTTAGCCCCGCTGAAATGTCTATCATAATTACCACTTAATAGCATCTTGGATTTTGATAGCAGGTTTGCTGCACTTGTACCTGTGGGCCCCGCTTGCCTGGTAAATATTTGGCTGTGTTATGCAGAATTCTGTCAGAGGAGACTCAATAAATGATGTTTCTGTTTGTTTACACCGCTAACTGGCAATATCATCTAGGTTTAAAGAATGGTGTTTTGTTTGTGACATGAATAAAGAGCCCCTTTGCAATGTTCTCTGTGATAGAAAGTGCCTTTTGTTCACACATATTTCAAATTGTTACTAGTATTTCGAATTAAATAAGAGCTGTGATTCCATATTAAATTACAATATATATATCTATTGGATGCTTTGTGGAGGATGACTGCCATGGGTCATAGTGTACCAGAAAAAGGGTCAGAAGGTTGTTGTTTATCAACAGCATGGTTATGCAAGCACTAGATCTACAGGTCAAATGATAAGGGTCAAAGGCTATTCAACCACTAGGGGTCAAAGGCTATTCAACCACTAGGGGTCAAAGGTTATTCAAGCATTAGAGTCACATACTTGCCAACTGTTTGAAATGTCCACGGGCAAGATTCCCCATGCTCAAAATTAAAACAAAGTAACATGTGTGCATACACCCCGTAGAGACAAAATGACATATTTTCAGCTGCTCTCTCAGATGAAATCATCACATCATAGAATATAGGAATGGGTTAGCAAATTCAATAGTTGAAAATACTATATTTAAGGCAAAAATAGGGAGTCTCCATCCTAAATAGGGAGGGTTGGCAAGTATGTAGAGATCAAAGATCTTTGTTACATTTAAGTCTAAAGGATGGTAGCACATGTACTAAAATTGACAAAATACATTGTCACATCTGTCCAAGGTTAGCTATTTCCGAAGTTCATAGGGCTTGAACAGAACCTTGGCGAAAGGTTATGTACGACTCATCCAATGAGAAGCAGCTATTATCAAATTTGAAATTCAGGGAAGAGTTCAGCATTTTCAGGTCAATGATGAATTGTGGGCCTTTAACCTATTATCAAATTGCTGTTATCCTGGAAGGTGTTCATCTATATAAGATAATAGATTATAGATGAATTTAAATATTTGAGAATTTTTTGAGATGGACTTTCACTTTCTGTATAAGAAATGATTTGAAGTGGAATTATCGTATGGGAGAATGATTTCCTTTGGACCCAATATGAGAGAATGATTTTTGTGTGAGAAAATTAAACGAAGGACACTTTCTATGTCAGAGTTATAAGTAGATTTTGTATACAATAGAATGACTTGAATTGGACATTCTATATATTGAGAAGGGAGCTGAATCAACAGTCCAACATCTGGTCACAGACAAGATAATGACTAGAGATGGCCCACATATTTGTGCCATTAACATTGGTATACTTTAATGACCTTGGTGCCCCCTGGGAGAAGGTGTGGGACGAGGTGGTCTACTACTGATCTGAACCAGGTCCCATACAACAACAGTGATGCCTGTTATTAGTATTATAGATATAGATAGATAACATCATTTTGATGTGTTTAGTCGAGTACTGGTGTGTCATCTGTTAACTATTATTGAAGAAGCTTACCGTTATGATGGCTAAGATTTCACTATCTGTCAATCACCTGGTATGTCGTCCTAACGAAAGACTTGAATATTGTTTTGATATAAAACACATGCATACTTGTCAACTTTTTGAAATTTCCATGTGGGAGATTACGCATGCCCAGAATTAAAACATAAATAAAATGGGTGTATGTACATCCTAGAGAAAAAGTAATACTTTTGAATAAATGGCATACTTTTGAGATGTTCTTTTGGATGAAATCATCAGATTTTAGAAAATAAAAATAGTTTAGGTTGAAAATGCTCAATTTTGGGGTCCAAAATCGGCAGTCTCCCTCCTAAATAGGGAGAGTTGGCAAGTATGCACATGAGTATTGAATACTCCAAGTTATAAGGTAACATTAAATTTGAAATGATATGCATGTCTATTTCATAAATTTGGCTTTTTGCTTTTGTTGGCAAGGAGTCTCCTTCAGTCACAAATCAAATTTAGTAAATATATTATATGACACTGTTAAAATTATATTGATAATTAGTTATGGAAATTCAAATTAACAAGTTTCTGACCCAATTCCAGTGTCATTTTCAAGTGATGAATAGAAATCCCTGATACTGGTCAGGTGACCATTGACCACTGATAGTCATCTACAAGACTACAACACGTGACCCAACGTCATGTCTTCAAAGTCAAGGTCATGGAGCATGGATGTGTGGGCAATATATTTTATACCATCTTTTAGTGAATCCGGTATATTATTCATCTGTTCAACAGTTTCTATTTTATTTTGACCCTTAGTTTCCATTTTGTGTGTTGCAGCCCCCTTAATTGTCGTTTGACCTTGACCCCTCCTCACATGACCATGTCCAGATGGATACGAAGCACCACCTAGCCAGTTTGTCCTTTTGTGCCAAACTATCCTGACTGTGACAATCTCAAAATTAAGGTAAGCCATGTGTTTATATATAAATATCGTACATACTCGGAAATGAAGTCATATTGACATCATATGATTACACTTTTCACTCCTTAAATATTGTGTTAAATTATGATTTTGCCAATCAATGATCCTGTTTATGGTTTTCTATTGAAAATTTTGTTGGTATGCCAATTCAACTCAAGAAATATTCATACTCATAAATTAAGTCATATTTAAATAATAAAAATACTGTAAACGACCATATTTTAGCATTAGTAATTCAAATAGTAAGGTGAGTCACATCTTTAGCTTACAAACTAGCTCAAGGTAAGTCTCATGGTCATAAAAGGGGTAGCATGTTCTTCGGAAAGAGGCCAACATACCTGTATAATATATATGTAATCGTCCGTTGGAAGAGTCTGTTGGAAGAGTTTGTATGTACCAAGAATAGTTTACATTATCGTCCAAAGGGAAATGAAAAGTCTAAACATAGAACTGAAACATGTTTTATGACTTGCTGTTGGTTGACATCATTGGAAAAACACCATAATATGTTTCTCTCGTTTATTTTTTGTGTCACGTTCGAGCATAACAACTTACAAGAAGAAATACAAAAAAATGTATATTTGGAAATGTTGAAGGCGTTTTTGCACTGGGCTTACTTTTTTATTGCCTTCAAAAAAAGTAATTGCTAACCAGTGAAAAACAGTACATAGAATAATTACAACTGTTAGACTGAGTGTCACTAAACACGGAGGTGTTAACTGTTAGACTGAGTGTCACTAAACACAGAGGTGTTATCTGTTAGACCGAGTGTCACTAAACACAGAGATGTTATCTGTTAGACCGAGTGTCACTAAACACAGAGGTGGTATCTGTTAGACCGAGTGTCACTAAACACAGAGGTGTTAACTGTTAGACTGAGTGTCACTAAACACAGAGGTGTTATCTGTTAGACCGAGTGTCACTAAACACAGAGGTGTTAACTGTTAGACCGAGTGTCACTAAACACAGAGGTGTTATCTGTTAGACCGAGTGTCACTAAACACAGAGGTGTTATCTGTTAGACCGAGTGTCACTAAACACAGAGGTGTTATCTGTTAGACCGAGTGTCACTAAACACAGAGGTGTTATCTGTTAGACCGAGTGTCACTAAACACAGAGGTGTTATCTGTTAGACCGAGTGTCACTAAACACAGAGGTGTTATCTGTTAGACCGAGTGTCACTAAACACAGAGGTGTTATCTGTTAGACCGAGTGTCACTAAACACAGAGGTGTTATCTGTTAGACCGAGTGTCACTAAACACAGAGGTGTTATCTGTTAGACCGAGTGTCACTAAACACAGAGGTGTTATCTGTTAGACCGAGTGTCACTAAACACAGAGGTGTTATCTGTTAGACCGAGTGTCACTAAACACAGAGGTGTTATCTGTTAGACCGAGTGTCACTAAACACAGAGGTGTTATCTGTTAGACCGAGTGTCACTAAACACAGAGGTGTTATCTGTTAGACCGAGTGTCACTAAACACAGAGGTGTTATCTGTTAGACCGAGTGTCACTAAACACAGAGGTGTTATCTGTTAGACCGAGTGTCACTAAACACAGAGGTGTTATCTGTTAGACCGAGTGTCACTAAACACAGAGGTGTTATCTGTTAGACCGAGTGTCACTAAACACAGAGGTGTTATCTGTTAGACCGAGTGTCACTAAACACAGAGGTGTTATCTGTTAGACCGAGTGTCACTAAACACAGAGGTGTTATCTGTTAGACTGAGTGTCACTAAACACAGAGGTGTTAACTGTTAGACTGAGTGTCACTAAACACAGAGACATCTCAAAAGATATAAAATTATATTTCTATTGTTCGATTTAGAAGCAGTTGTTGTAGTTCAACTGAGCTCTGGGATCATGGCGTTCTCTTTAAAATGGTATATTGTCTTCCAACATCGTAAAGCGTCTGCCCTCCGAAACATATTTAATCGGTATAGTAGTCGGTGGTCTTATGGTGTAGTTATTCTATATCATTCCTCATTTTAGTAACCACAAAGACGACGGTTCTGTTGACATATGGTTCAAACGTTTCTCAAGAGTTGTCAATTTATCGTTAACGAATCCATAGAGACAAATTTGGCATTTGTTTTTCAGAGAAGAAAAGGTTAAAGAATCTTAACGTGAAATTACTTTCTCAATTGTTTTGGAACATTTTAATAAATTCTTGTTTTTTTCATTACCCTTGTAGATTATTTACCAGGGTTCATTAGTTTTAAGTGTCGTTAACTCAACTGCATATTGACTGAAAATGTTTAATCTTGATCATTCAGATTTATTGAAATTTATATTGAATACTACATGTCATGATTTTAGATGATCATCTCAAAAAAAATGATTGAAAGCAGTAATAATACATTTTGAATATATTTATTTATTACATTTTTGCCAGTGAAATATCAGATTCTATCAACTTGATAAAACTGATATTTTTCACACTGTGACAAATATCAAAAGTCACTTTTTGATATTGACCAATCATAACGGTACCTTCTATTTGCTGCATTTAAAGGCAACGATTTTTTGTTCAGATTCAAGTGAAGTGACGGTAGAATAAGTGGTTGCTATGGTAAATGTTTGCTACACACACTTAAGTATTTGCAAAAATATAAAATTAATAACATTTTTATACTCTGTGGACTCGTGAATAATATCAAAATATTAGCCACACTCCTGAAATATATTTGTTATTACTGAAGACACCATTAAATATATCCTCTATATATAACCTTTATTTTACAACAGCTATGAATCAAAATATTTCAGCTTATATTAATTATTTTGTTGGCCCAGATGTTAGCGCCTGGTATGTACCTCCATTAGTGACGGCCCAGTTTTCTGTCCTACCATTAATAAGGATTTCGGACCTCTGCGTTTGTTTAGTGTTCTCAAGTCCTTCCATTCATCAGTTTTCTATAGTCCTGCTGTACATACAATTTTTATATCATAAATCTTATTTGAATTGTTTCAAATTTTAAAACACCATAAATGTAATAAAGCTGTTAAAGATCAAATTACATGTTTTCTTATTTCAAAGAAAAATTCACTGGATAAAATCAGTTTATCATCAAAGTCATCTCTGAGGAGATTGTCAGACAATCTGGAACAGTTTTCTAGGGCAGACAGGTCGTTGGCAGACGAAATGCACCAAATTATATGACCATATCTAGGGGGTTACATTAAACCTTTGATATTACAACCAATTTTGGAATATTAGGCCAGACCTATTGACAGATGTGTCCTTGTGGACAGAGTTTGTTCCATTTATGCTGGAAAGTGTCGGCTTTGGGAATTCAGGTTTTGATGATTTTCCAAATTAATTTTCCAGGATAAGACAATAATTACACAACACTGATGGAATTATATATCTACGATTTGAAAATATTAAATAACACCATTCCTTATAGAATAGACCTGACAGTCAACCTTATTGATCCCTGGAGAAGTCAATAAAAGTCTAGGTGTCTGGCGCATAATTCAATATTTCGTTGATTAAGTCATGTGATATCATAGCTTAGTACAAGTAAAGACAGCTTGCAGTCGTGATGTCTTAAATAAGTACTACCGTATTCTGGGAAATTTTCACAGAAATGTTCGCCTTTTACAGATAAAATGTATATTATCCCAGTTTTAATCTTGGCATTTACATTGTATTTGCTATTGTATGTTTTACTGTGTACTTATAATCGTAGACATAGTGAATTTGCTTCCAAGGACAAAAAAGTAATAGACTTTGGCAAACATTTCCTGGCATACAGTATTTTGTAGGGTCTAAATAGTCCAGACTTTCTCTAGCAGTGTTATTTCTTAAAATATACCTTAAGGAGTTCATTTATCCGTTCTCCCTTGGGGAGGGGGTAAAGTTTACTATAGTTTATATAGGGAAACAACACTTTTGGGTATATTTTGACAATTTTCTGTTGGAAATTATTTTTACCTGGTCAGAATCATCTTTGGTGGATGACGGTATCACATTGTAAACTTGGAATTCCTGCCCCATCCCCAGGGGTTAAAGCGGGGCCCCAAAGGGAACATTTACAAATATTTTAAAATTCTTATCCTTTGATGACATGACAAGTATTGTATTTCACTTAGTTTACATGCTGATTTCCACATCACATCTAAACAATAAAATAAAGCTACCAGTAGCTATGATATAACTCAGGTGACCGCTAAGGCCCTTGGGCCTCTTGTTTGTGTTGATCATAATTTAATTTGTTAATTTTATCGTAACATTTTGATGTTGGACAATTAAAATCATCTATTATCCTACTAGTTGGGCTGTTTTTAGATAATTAACCAGTTTGCTTTGTCTATAAATATTTGTTGGAGTATGAATGTAGATGAAACATTTTTTATTTTATTTTCTCAAATTAGGTTCTCGTATTCGGGAATGTGAAGCCAGCAGACTTGACACCTAATGCTACTTGTTCATTGTAGATCCCGAACAAATGGCGTTAACATTTATATTCATTTATTGCAAATGATGTGTCATATTTTATGTATTCAATCATGTGTCTTCTCTGTATGTTGGTCACAGGTCACATGATAGGCAAGCCATTAATTGGCCATTAGATCAACCATCTGATCCAATCAGATGGCACTGATCAGATCGGTGTTAACGAGGAGAACAGAATCCAGGAGCTACAAAGTGTTTTATTTCCTTGACTCCTCATTTATTGGGTTTCGTGATCACTTTTTATGTTCGTGATTTATCAGGAAGTGACCATTAGGGAGGGAAAAGCAACTGCGACTTGTCCCAATATTGGTCAGCTTTACTGCACCATGAAAAACTACAAAAAAACAACAAAAAACAGAAATTTGTTTATGAACTGAAATCATTTTTTTTTTCTTTTATGGAAACTTAAAAAAAATAATGTGTACTGTTAATATATCAAATCTATCAATTATAGAAATGGCTAAGAATGCATTAGATGTGCTGTAGACGTGCTAGCTAGGTACTGTGTTTTACTGTCGA